AGGGCATGATGGTCAATTAGTATATTCCCTCTTTATTAAATAGGATAAGGTAATATATGGAACATTGATTAATAAAAAAAATCTTATTTTTTCAATGGATTTTTTTTCTAATATGCATTGATTCTGTACAATTGAGACAATGCCTATGTACTTATACATAATTTGGTGATGAGTCTAAGTAATATGAACATAATTATAATAACTTTATAACATTTTAATAAAGTATTAGTAAGGCTATTGCTATTAAAACATCCATTATATTCTCTACTCCCATTAATCCAAAGCTTTGAATAAATACATGTAACTTCACTAGAAATGGGAACAATTCAATAACCCAGAAGCTTATTTCTCTAATGCTAGATCATTGGATATTTGTTAATCCAGCTTTTAGGCTCAATAATTTTTTTCACCTAAAATAAACAATTTACATAATACGGAAAACATTAGAAGAAAATATATATGTGTATGCAGCAATTTAGACTGCAATATGTTTTCATATAAAATAGATTAAAATAAGATGGTTGTAGTTTGAAAGTTTGAGAGATTTCATCATTTATTTTTAAAAAAATATATTTTATTGATTTTTTACAGAGAGGAAGGGAGAGAGAGATAGAGAGCTAGAAACATCGATGAGAGAGAAACATCAACTAGCTGCCTCTTGCACACCCCCTACTGGGGATGTGCCCACAACCAATGTACATGCCCTTGACCAAAATCGAACCTGGGACCTTTCAGTCCGCAGACTGACGCTCTACCACTGAGTCAAACCGGCTTCGGCGAGATTTCATCATTTAGAAGATTGTTTTAGTAATACAATTTGCATTATGTGACTGTTTGTTAAAATAATACATTTAAATAAAGATAAAATAGTTATAAACTCCAAAATGTATACTTATGATAATGTATAACAATATAATCTATTAATATAACAATAAAAGAGTGATATGCTAATTAGATGTCCTTCCAGAGGTCCTTCTGAAGACATGCTGGATGAAGCTGCAGAGGTGGGGGCTGAGGCAGAAGTGGCAGAGGCAGCAGAGACCCTGGCCACTGCAGTGGGCGGGGGCTGAGGCCACTATGGCGGCAGCAAGGGCGGAGACCCTTGCATGAATTTCATGCATTGGGCTTCTAATATTTACATATAGTCAGTTTTATGTATATAAACATTCTATTTAGCCAACTTTCACTTAGTAACATTATTTTAAGTAATGAAATCCATAACACTTTATTGAGAAGAGTATCCAAAAAGAGGAGATTGAGTTAGAAAACATAACATTGATTACAACAAAAATGTTCGCCTTCTCCAACATTTATCCTATATGAGTGGATTATGCAAATTAGGCTGGGACTCCATAATGTCACAACTGCTTAGCAGGGGTTAAACGGTAAGGGGAAAACAGGGCCTTCCACTGGGGCTTGAGCCTGAGGTGCCTTCTCTGGAGTTGGGGAGCTAATGACAGATGGGCTGTGGTCCTCCTCCAACAGCCCTTCCCAGCAGGCATGGGGTTGCTGAGACCCAGGCAGATCCGGTGGCCACAGATTCACAGCTTCATGGAGGCTGATACTAGCAGGCTGCCTGGAGGCCATGTGGCTGGGCTGCAGGGTACCCATTCAAGATGTGACACAAAGAGGAGGTGCAGGAGGCAATCCAGGGAATGAGATGTAGGGGTTCAAGACTCACTTCCTTTGGGCTTTGTCCTTCTTGGCCTTGGTCCCTTTCTTTCGGGCCTGGAGCACAAGCACTGCAGGAGAAAGGGATGGATTAAGGCTGAATGTGGAAGAAAGGTGACCCAGGTCAGGGTGGAGACCTAGCAGTGGTGTGAGACCCGACTGTGGGGCTGCCGGAGGGGAGGCTCTCTAGTGAGTTTTGGCAAAGTAGCCGGCCAGAAGGTGGGCCCAAGGGGCACAGAGCGTCTCCACACCATTCCTCTGTGAGGACACCCCACACAGGCGCCACCTTCACCTGCAGGCTTTGGGTGACAAAATGCGACTGCAACCTCAAAGAACTAACCCTGTGCCCCTTTGGGTACCAGGCTTGCTAGGAGTGTGCTATCACCAATGCCACAGATCAAAAGTAAAAACGTGGCAAGGTGGGGTGCATCTGAGGAGGCTTAGGCTGCAGCAGGGGCCGGTGGGCAGGGATCTGCCTCGCCTGTGGAGTGCGAGGTTCTGCAGTGGCCCCAAGATTCAGATTGGCCAGGTGGGGAACTAGGGGCATGGAATAATGCCTGGGTGGACGGGAGTAGACCCGCAGCCCTGAGAAAAGGGTTGAGGGGTGGCGCCACCTCAGTGGAGGGGTGCCACACTGCAGGGTACCCGACTGACTGCCGAGGTTCAGAGAAGCTCCCCGTGCTAATCTGGTCTCACCTGGACGGCCTTCTCACTTCAGAGGCAGCAACTCCTGCTCCTGCCTTGGCCCAAAAGCAAGCCGGGCCGTCCTGCCCCATGGCCAGCACACACCTGCGCAGTGAGTGCAAAGCCTACCACCTGCTCCCCAGAAGGGAGGCCAGTAAAGAATGGGGGCGGGGATGGGGGAGAGGAAAGAATGTGGAGCATCCACGATGGAGAGGTGATTGAGAACTAGGCTCAAAAACCTTATGGGAAGGTTTGTTCTGTTAGCCCCATGGCTGTCCCTTAGGAAGGGTGGAGAGCATGGCTATGAGGGGTCTCTGCACGCTGGTCAAGTTCCTCAGCCAAAGGGAATTGGCCTCAGTTTCCTGGTCTGTAAAACAGATTAAGCATGTCCCAGTGCCTTCACTGAACTTAAATGGCCAATTGAGATACTATATAAAGGAAATGAGGAAAGAAATGGGAAAGAAAAGGAAGGAGGAGCTATACAAAAGAAATATTGGAAGGAACCTGTAAACCCATTGTCACTTAAATAGGGAATATAGTCAATAGTGCTGCAATGATGGTATGATGCCCAGTGGGTACTGGAAATATCAAGGAACACTTTGTAAAGTATATGATTGTCTAATCACTATTCTTAAACTAATATAAAATGTGAAACTAATACAAAATAATATAGGATGTAAACAAATGAAAATTGGAGTGAAAATTTTATAAATTTCAAAGTTTAAATAAAGGCTTTAAAGGAAGAATAAAAAAATGTTTTTCATTTTACCACTTTATTGTCTTTTCGGTACATGAAAAAGACAATTGTCTTTATATGGTGCTTTTATACTTTTCCAAGTCATTATCTCATTTGATGTTCAGGGCAACTTAAAGACAAAATAATTATTCTATCCACTATTTAAAGAAAGGAAATCTTGGTGTCTGGTCCCAATGATTCAATAGTCAAGCCCTTATTGTGAAATTTTCTGTGAAGGGTCATATAAAAGCCTTGGGGGTGATCAGGCCAGCAGGGGAGCAGTTAGGCACCAATCAGGCCAGCATGGGAGCGGTTAGGGGACAATCAGTATGGCAGGCAGAAATGGTTTGGGCCAATCAGGCAGACAGGCAGGTGAGCTATTAGAAGCCAGCAGTCCTGGATTGTGAAAGGGATGTCTGACTGCCGGTTTAACTGGCAGACATCCACCAAAGGGTCCTAGATTAGAGAGGGTGCAGACCAGGCTGAGGGACACCCTCCACCCTCACCCCCTTGCATGAATTTCATGCACTGGGTAATATACCCAGTGCATTATATACATATATATATATATATATATATATATATATATATATATATATATAGAGAGAGAGAGAGAGAGAGAGAGAGAGAGAGAGAGAGAGCTGGCATTACAAAGTAGTCATGGGCATACATATGTTTAGCCTTAAATGATATTGTCAAGCAAGATTCCAAAAGAAAAGTTGAAATTTGCTTTGAAAAGTTGTCAGTTTCTGATAAAGTTGAACATAATCACTGTAACCTAGCAAATCTACATCTGGGATTCAAATATGCACCAGAAGAGAGGCACAAGAAACACTTCAAACTAGCTAAAACTATAAAGAGTCCTCATTTCAATAGCCTTAAATGGGACAAATAAACAGTGGTATATTTGTAATGGAATATTACATAGCTATGAAAAATTCTACATACAAAAAAGCATGGGTGGATCTCACAAATATAATATTGAGTGAAAGAATTTAGTCACAAGATTACATACTTTGTAATTCCATTTATGTTATGCTCCAGAGCAGCAAACTAATCTGAGACGACACAAGGCAGAACCAGTACTGGTTACCTTAGGGACAGTGTTTAGCTTGTCGGTCCTGCATGGTGGTTAGCTTGAGCTGTACATTTAAGAAGTGTGCATTTTATGCCTGTTATACTTCAATAAAATATGAGTTTAATAATGATAACCCAGCTGTAGGAAATGAGAAAATAGGATCTAGGGAGAAAAAGTGGGGAGAGAATTCCTTTCATTTTCTTCATCCTCTAATCACCCATTCTCTTCTCTACATTCATTGTTTCAGCATCAGACACTTGCCAGCCTCCCACATCCTTAGAGGTTCACAAACTTCTGGCTGGGGCTCCCCCTGCTCAGAGGCTGGTATTGATGGATGGATTCAGGGATTGGATGGAACACCCTTCCTCCTCCCCCCCAAATCCCACACAATACAACAGGAACTGGGAAAACAAGCAGCGGGATGAGCAGAGGACCAGCCGCCACCCGCTAGTTCCCAGAGATTCAGCCGCGGTTCGCTGGACAGCGCCAGGATGACTTCCTCCCCTCCCAAAGCGCGGGCAGGCAGGTACTTCCAGCCGCCCCCCAGGGACACGTCTTTGTTCACGAAAGAGCCTTCCTCCAGGGGAGACTGAAGCAAAGACGCAAACTGCTTTGCCTTTTTTTTTTTTTTTTTTCTTTTTCTTTTTGAATTCGGAGCCAATGTGCCTCTTCCAGAAGTGAAGCGCGGGAGCGTGCGGACCGATTCCTCCCGCGCCCGTCCCCTCCGGGACGCGCAGGGTGACGCGTGCCCCGCAGGCAGGAAACTTGTCCCGGAGGGAGATCCACTTCTCAGGGCACCTGGGCGCACCGGACGCCCCTGCGAGGCAGACCATGCCCCCCAAGTCCCTCTGCAACCTCTCCCAGCCCGCCGGCCTGAACCAGAGCGGCTTCTTCCCCGGGTTGTCGGACTGGGGTTTCCTGCCCGCCGCCGCCGCCTCCGAGGCGGGGACCCCCGCCGCCACCGCCCAGCTGGTGATCCGCTGCGTGATCCCGTCCCTCTACCTGCTCCTCATCACGGTGGGCTTGCTGGGCAACATCGTGCTGGTGAAGGTCTTCGTCACCAACAGCGCCATGAGGAGCGCCCCCAACATCTTCATCTCCAACCTGGTGGCCGGGGACGTGCTACTGCTGCTCACCTGCGTGCCCGTGGACGCCTCGCGCTACTTCTTCGACGAGTGGGTGTTCGGGGAGGTGGGCTGCAAACTGATCCCCGTCATCCAGCTCACCTCCGTGGGCGTGTCCGTGTTCACGCTCACCGCCCTCAGCGCCGACAGGTGAGGGCACAGGTACCAGCGGGGCGGGCTAAAAAAGGGGTGGAGATGGGGTGGGGGGTGCACCTGGGAGGGAGAGGGGGCAGAAAGAAAAGGCTAGGAGGAGGAGAGGGAGAGTGAGTATCTGGGAATGAGAGCAAAAGAGGTAGAAACGACTGAGATGTGAAGCCTGAAACAATATGAAAAGGGTTACGTTTAAAAAGAACTAAAAGTGCATTAGTTTGAAAGTAGTTTTAAAATTGCATATCCTTACTCTTCCCCTTCCCTTCCACACACTTGGCAGCTTTTATTCATTTCAAAGAACAGCTATAGAATGCATGGGCAATAGAATAGCTACCTGTTTTTAATTATTATTATTTTTTTAATTTAAACCTTACAAGTTCTTCAGCAACTAATGATTATTTTTTAAAAATATAGTTTTATTGGTTTTTAGAGAAAGAGGGACGGAGAGGGATAGAGAGATAGAAACATCAGTGGATTGCCTCATGCATGCCCCCCACTGGGGACCTTGCTGAAACCCAAACCTGGACATGTGCCCTGATCAGAAATCAAACCAGGTACCTCTTGGTTCCCAGGTCCATGCTCAACCACTGAGCCACACTGGCCGGGCCAATGTAGCTATCTTGTCTAGGTTTTCTCTGCGTGCTTAAAAACTTTAGACGTGCAGTTTTCTTATCTGGTAGCCTAATCACCTGATTCATAAGCATGTCTTCCTTAATATTAGTAAAAATACTTGATTTTTATTTTTTTTTCCCAAATAAGGAGAAACATCATTTACATTTAACAACTAAATTATACTATTTTACTGGAAGCACAAACAACTAGAATAGTAACTATTCTTCTGACAGATGACTTTACACATTTTGTTTGTTTTAATACCTCAAGTCAAATAATACGTTATTTGTTTTTTCACAAACAGGCAGGGACCAAATTCTTGTATTTTAAAACACAATTGTAAAAAATACATCTTTGGTTTTGAATCTGCTTTTCACATATTTTAAGTGTGGGAAGTGTCCATTACTCTACCTTGCAGATCAACAAGTCCAACGGGCCCATTTTCCAGGTAAGGATGTTGAGGCTCAAGGAATGTAAATTCCCGGGCAGAGCTGGGAGGAGAACCCAGGCCTGCTGAACTTGGACCCAGCACTGTTGCTGCAGGTTCTCTATAACCATGCTTTTGGGCATTTGCACAGGAGAGATGAACTGGATGGGAGTAGGGGCAAAATTGGGCATGTCCAAATTTGAGTGATGTTCAGTTGGGCATCTGTGCATGAAGCTATGTCTAATTCTCTTGGGAATGGGGTGTTGACGTCAACTGTTGAACTCTGATGATTAAGGTGGTGCTCATCCTCCTCTTTAATTTACATTTTGGGCTACAAATGAAAAATAAATGCATCTAAATTTTCTCGTATTTGCAGTAATATCCTTACATTACCCTTACATTACTTTTAGGAGTTAATTTTAATGAAAGGAAGAAAATATTCAGTGGCGATTTGAAAATTATTGTCTTTTTTAAACTGAATACTTTTTGGTTGGCTTTTTGGTTTGTGTAATATTTTCTCTAAAACCACATTTCTATGAAGATATGTGCCTTTGGATAAATTATCCACCTCATTTTGATTGACACGATTTCTATTATCTTTTTTTGGAAAGTTTTCTTTGGGTTCCATAATTAAAATGTGACCTTTTATTTTAACTGCCCTTCTTTAGGGAACCCATTTTAAACAGAAAGTTTGAAAAATACTAGGTAAGGATTGAGATAAAACGTAATAGTTATTACTACAACAGTTAAAATTATGATCATTATGCTTTCATTTTGAAAGGTAATATTAGGAACAAGATCCAGGGCTTAACTTTATTTCACACCATTTTTCTCTCTTGTCATGGAGACACACAGATAAATTGGCTCTGACAAAGGTCAGAGAAAATGCTGTTCCTCACACATTTACTGACTGTTTCAGTGTGTTATGTGAATCATGAACTCTGTAAATAAAGCATGGATCCTTTAGTAATAATGATAAAGAAAAGTGGGTTGTCTCTTCTCCTTGGTCCAGAAGCTACTCTTGCCTATCAGTGTGAGTTTTAAATATAAATTGAGGAACTGAAGTCACTGGTGGTGAAATCACACAATACGTTCTAAAAGTCATGTGAATGGCTTGGGTATGTTTTGTTTTATATTGTGTATACCTCTGTTGTTCTTCCAGAACATCGTAATCTAGGTGTTGATTTGGACCTGGTCTCCTCATACTTTCTCTCTCCAGATATTTTAGTTTCTTGTGGATTTGGAAACAAGAATAAGACAAATTGCACACAGTACTGTGCTAAGTGTTTTTGTGTGAGTTTATTATCCTCACAATACCATGAAGAAGGCACGATCATCATTACCATTTTAAAGTAAGGAAAATTAAGACTTGAAATTAAGCAACATTTTCCTGATCTCACAGTGGAGCCAGGATTTGAAAACAGGTTAAAGACTGCAGTCTTCACTATTAAGCACATTATCACATTTTCAGGAATAAGAAATTACTATTTTTCTCCCCTATTTAGTGACAGACTGAAGAATTACATTTAAAACATAGCACCAAGATTTAAAAAAATTGCAAAAGCTTAGTCATTAGATTCAATAGAATGGGAAAAAAATGTAATACATGTAACTGCCAAGTATAAAAACACACCCTGAATTCAAAATTAAGTTGTAATTGTAGCAATAGAACCACTTAAAAAAAAGCCATTATTAGAGTTTTTAAACAACAAATTCAATTGTTTGTTAAACCAAACTAAATATTTAATCCTCATGAGATGGCTTACATAAAGATAGAAAAAGAAACAGGCAGATAATTAGACTTTAGCAAGCATATGCCAATGTGAAGTAGAAAGTTAATTATATGTCATTGATGACAGTACCGCCAAATAGCAGAGACTGAAATAAAAAATAAATACTTATGAATCTACCTTGAGGCCTAAATCACCTTGTTTGATGTGGGTGGTATGGATAACACTGTGTTCTGGTTATTAATCTTTGACTTTCCAAATTTTTAAAAAAAATATATTTTATTGATTTTTTACAGAGAGGAGGAGAGAGGGATAGAGAGCTAGAAACGTCGATGAGAGAGAAACATCGACCAGCTGCCTCTTGCACACCCCCTACCGGGGATGTGCCCGCAACCAATGTACATGCCCTTGACCGGAATAGAACCTGGGACCTTTCAGTCCGCAGACTGATGCTCTACCACTGAGCCAAACCGGTTTCAGCAGATTTTCCAAATTATTTTGAGAAGTTTTACCTGATTCATCCTTAAGAAAGATCATTGTGCCCACTGGGACTGTACCTCAGAGACATTGCATAACCAGAATGGGAGGAAAGGCTGTGCATAATCTGAAATGGTGACAGTGGTGCTGCCAGTTTACTTTTAACTTTTTTGTTAGTATATAAAAAATATACTTCTTTTGCTTGCTCGCATTAAATAGCTAATTAAAAGTATTTGCATATTCTTCATTGTGTCATTTTTACCAGTTCCACACACACACACACACACACACACACTCACTTTCTCCTCTCTCCCACTGTTGAGACTTATGTGCTATGATACTAGGTAGGAGGAATCCCATACTTTGCTTGTGATTGGCATTACAGAAATCTTCACGACCTTATGTGCTATGATACTAGGTAGGAGGAATCCCACACTTTGCTTGTGATTGGCATTACAGAAATCTTCACGACCTATTGCACTAACTTCATTCCAAACTCAGATATTCTTTCTTGAACTCTTAAAGACATTTTGACCCCCCAAATCCCATATTTAAAATGGTAGTCATGCCGAAGCCGGTTTGGCTCAGTGGTAGAGCGTCGGTCTGCTGACTGAAGGGTCCCAGGTTCGATTCCGGTCAAGGGCATGTACATTGGTTGTGGGCACATCCCCGGTAGGGGGTGTGCAAGAGGCAGCTGGTTGATGTTTCTCTCTCATCGATGTTTCTATCTCTCTATCCCTCTCTCTCCCTCTCTGTAAAATATCAATAAAATATATTTAAAATGGTAGTCATTTTTTAAGAATGAGTTCTCCTTTTTCTTTTATAGCAAATAAATAAATAAATAAATAAATCAGAATTCCCATGGACTCCTACTGCTAAAGTATGAACTTCATTATTTTGTGTACTTACAAATGCAAAACTAGAAATAAATTTCTTATGCTGTTTTAAAAAAAATATAAATGTTAACTAAAATGCATTTATAAATTTAATTCTAAAATTCTATAAGACAATAAAATTTAATATATCAGGTTATGTTGTTTTTCTGATACTCTATAGCCAATGTTGGATTGAATACAAAAATAATATTGCATCTAATCTGACTAAAGTGATAATGTATTAATTATTTCAAGTCTTTATTTGATAGTTAGAATAAACTTATTTAATTCCATAACTGAACTTGTGCTCTTAGGTATGAACCTTGAATCATTAACATTATTTACATGTTATATCAATGCAAACATATATTTCCTTTACTATAATTACTTGTTAAAATACTGAAACAGATAAAACATGGGCCCTATGTCTAACACTCCCGAGGCCTTAGGAAGCTTTTTTGTCAGTCTTTGTCCAGTGGTGAAAGAGAATGCCATTATCTGTTTGCTGGTTTCTCACCAAAGCTTCTTACAGGAGCTCAGGTATTGATTGAATAGCTGGATTTTTTTAAATTTAAATTTTTATTTTTTTGGTCCGTAGCCTGGGGCAGTGTGCTGAGGTTGGCTCTCAGAGTGTGCTTCTAAAGCTCTTTTGAATAGTTTGGGCTGGCCATGCATACCTAAAGCAGTAATCCACACTCACACCAGCAATAACCACGTTTAAAGAGTGATTGTTATCAGAGAAAAAAGTGCCTGTCTTCTCTCATTGCTAGTGGGAGCTGGGTTCTTGGAGTGCCACTGTAGGAAGCATTTCCAGAGCCCCCAGGGGAGAATGAGATATGGTAGAAAGCTTTATTTTCCCGGAATATATCTAATTTCCCT